ATATACTTAAAAATACTTTAAAATAAATGACATTTTAAAAGCATATTTGGGGAAAGGGGAAATCATTGTTTAGGAAGCAGTGAATTTCTGCTTATGGTGATAAAGAATTTATCAACAGTTATTGGTGATGGTTGCACAACACGATTGACAGCATTAACTTATACATGTGGAAAATGATGAAATGATGAATTGGTAAATATTGTGTTATACATACTTTTGCCACAATAAAAAATACTCAACAATAAGAGAATATTCAGAAGGTACTTTTGTGTTCACTATGCACTTAAAATATGTTATTGGTTTTTATTTATTTTTTTTTTATTGTGCTTTAAGTGCAAATTTACAGAGCACAATTTGTTTTACATTCAACATTTCGTGTACGTTTGGTTTCACTCCCCAATTACCAACCCCAAACTTAACCCACTCTCTTCCTCTCCCTTCCCAGTGACACCCCCCCATGTCCTTCTTGGTTACACATTCCCGTCTGTCCCACTTCTCCTCTGTGTGACTGCTGCCCCTCTGGTGTCCCATGGCTGATTGCTCCAAGGGATGCATTTCCGTAGAGTAGGTGTGTGCATCGCCGTGTGGTGAGTGTTATGCATGTAAGTCTTATTTACTGTTGGGCTGAAAGCCAGCCGTTGGGAGTGAGGTTTATCCCAGGCCAAATGTGTATCCCAGGGCCACAGTCTTGGGGGTCCCACCAGACTCCATCCGACCAATAATTCTGGTCATTATTGTGCTTTTGGATTTTGTTTCACATTTTTCTTCCCACTCTATCCAGGATCTCCAGTTTTGATCCCTTCCTGGGTGGCTGGCATTGGTAGCTCGGCATCATCTAGTTCTTCTGGTCTCAAAGTCCATCATGTCCTAGGGCTGATTGTTTCCAAATAACCTTGGTTTTCTTCACATTTCTTTGCTTCCAACAAGAGGAGACCATTAGTTGCATCTTAGATGGCTGCTCAAAAGCTTTTAAGATCCCAGTCACTACTCATCAAAGTAGGTTGTGGAACAAGATTTTTATGTATTTTGTTGTGCCAGTTGAGTCTGGTATCCCCCACTATGTTATTGTTTTTAGTTGCCAAGAGTCAGCTCCAACTCATGGCAACCTTATAACAGAACTAAATGTTATCCAGTCTCCTATGCCATCTTTACAACCATCACTGTATGTTTGAGATCATTGCTGTGGCTATTGGATAGGATACAAATTCTAGAGTGTGGTCACAGTTTAGGAAAAATGTTTATGCACCTGTGTGCAAATCAACATATATATGTATTTATGTATATGTATGTGTGTGTGTATGTGTATATATATATATACATACACACACACATACACATATTCAATGTAGTGACAATGTAACAGAAGTTATTCTACTTGGTAAGATTAGAAAAGATTTTTTATTTATACCATCCTTTAGTAATCACGTATTATTTTTATAAACAGAAGCAAAAACATTTCTTTCTCTACTTAAGAGAGAAAACACAGGGGTATATTTCAAGATATAGTTCCTTTTACCTTAAGATCAAGAGGAGCTTTACTCCTTGGTCCATTTTGTACTAAATACAACAGAGGCTAACATTTACAGAAACTTACTATATGCCAAGCACTGTACAAACATTATTCTAACACAATCCAACAGTATATTATCATCATTTTACAGATGAGCAAACTAGGGCTCAAAAATGTTCAGTAACGCCAGCATTAGACCTTGAAATCTTAGTGGAACCAGAGTCTGAGCTCTAAACTCTTCAATAGCCCTCTTTTGGTTAAAAGAGGGCTACTATGGTTGCAATGTTAGCAGCCAAATCTCCTCTGAAGCTTGGCATAAGGATCTAAATGAAGACAAGTCACCAGGTTCTCAATAGGCATGGTGGTTGAACTTGGAGCTCATGAAGAAAGGAAGTATTGCCTTCTCTTGAGCATTCTTCCTTATTAGGCCAATGGGTAGGGCATAGGCTCTGACCCAAATCTCCCCTTGAAAACCCTAATCAGAAAGAGGCTCCTTCAGATATGACTACAAGTCTTTCTACACCTGCAACATCTATAGATGACATCCACTACTGGAGGAACAAGTATGTCACTAAATGGTTCTTTGGGGAGCCAGTGGGTTGCTGCTGGCCTAGAGGGGTCTGTCCTTCTCACACAGAGGTGAAATTCTTGCATCAAACAGGATCCCAAAGGCAAACAGATAATTTGTGGAGAATTTGAAGAGAGGGCTAGTTTACATCTGGGCCAGGTGAAAAGAAACCACAAAGGACAGTGTGTGGCACTAGTT